TATTATATTATTTAAATTTAAAATTTTTATGATTTTAAAAGTAAATAAATAAATAGGACCCAAGAGATTACAAGGTTTTGGGATTTGCGGGACCAGACGTGCAAATCGAAGCACTAAAAAATCTAATACTAGGAAGCCAGCCTGCAACTTAATTTATTTAACACGACAGTGGTGGTGGCGGCGCCGCGGTTTAATGAACTAAGAGCCATTGCTTTTGTCTGCTATTTCATGATTCTCACATTTCTAATTTCTTGGGCAACAAGATCCTTTTCTTTTTTCTTTTTTTTTTAACGAAGTATAATAGGTGATCTCGAAGTCTACCCAATAAAGGAGAATACATTTTAAGATGATAAAAAAATCACTTCATTTAAAGGGTCAAGTGCAAGATCCCTCTTTTTTTTAAACGCACGGAGTATTTAATAAGTTATCTTTAATTTGTGATTCCGTGATCATGTAGTGTAACAATAAGATTAGAAAAGAGAGGTATAGAGCAAAAGAGATAAAGTAATCACGGGAGACTTTTGCCTTTCGCAGCACCCAAACACTACGGCCTGTTCACATTATCTAAGTCATAAAATTAAGGATAATATTATAATTATTATAATGTTATATAAAACATGTTATTAAAATGTAATAGGATATTAGATAAGTGAATAGCGAACCGTAAAAGTATTATAAAACCTATTATAGAAAGAAATATGATAGTATTCATTTTTAATATGATAGTATTTGTTATCCACTAAGGTATTATAAAAATTATTATATAATCTAACTGCTATCTATTAGTTTTAAATTGCTAAATAAAAATTTTTATTAAAAATTTTATTTATAATAATTTCAAAATATATAAATTTATCAAACCTTATATCTAGTAATTTAAACAAAATCACTTACTGTTATCTTAAAATCTCTATACCAGACACCCTTGGTGTACTAAATCCAGTGATCCATTCAGCTCAAAAAAGAAAAAGAAAAAGAAAAATTCAGTGATCCATTGATATATTTTATTTGAAGGAAAAACAGTTGAGTTGACATCATTAACCAAAGGGCCATACAAAACAATATTTTCAATGAATTATGGTGGCCACAGTAATGAATTTAAGAGACTTAGTAGTTAGTAGTTAATTTTTTCAAAAATGCCAGACGTGTTAAGCAATGTGAAATAAAACAAAAATATGAGAATAGAAGAATTACTTCAAAATATAAAAAAAGATTTAACAGTGCCCTAAAAATATAAATTAAAATTTATTAATTAAAGTATTTTTAATTAATTTTATATAAATTTTTATATCAAATTTATAATTTTTTATAAATTTTAAGTAAAAATATTATATTTTATTTAAAATTTATATAAAAATTTATGTAAAATTAATTATAAATATTACAATAAATAAAATTTAATTTGTACTTAAAGATACAATTAAAAAAATTCCATATAAAAAGAGCACGAGAGAGGGAGTATGTTGGGAGTCTTGTATTGTGACATTAAATCAT